CGGTGCCCTGCAAACGGATAGCGCGCCGCTCTGCCTCGCGAGGCCCGCGGCCGCCGAAGGGCACTGGGGGAGGAGGAGGAGGAGGAGGAGGAGGAGGAGGCGAAAAGGATGGAGGAGGAGGGAGGAGGAGGAGGAGGAGGAGGATGGAATGAAGCCGAACCCCGAGGGGAGGAGGGGGAGGAGTGAGAAGGGTGGGAGGGGGGGAGGAGAGAGGAGGAGGAGCGAAGGGAGGAGGAGGCGGGGAGAGGAGGAGGAGGAGGAGGAGGAGGAGGAAGGAGGAGGACGGAGGAGGAGGAGGAGGAGAGGAGAAGGGGGAGGAGGAGGAGGGGGAGGAGAAGGAGGAGGAGGAGGAGGCGGAGGAGGAGGAGGAGGAGGAGGAGGAGGAGGAGGAGGAGGAGGAGTGCCTGGGGGCGCCTGCGGGTGAGGGTGATTGCTTTCCAATATGAAGCTCAGAGCCTCAGTAGCGCTTTACAACGGATTCCCCGAAGGACGGTGACCACACGCCTCCTCACTCCCTTATCCTTTTCCTCCTCCCTCCTTCTTCCCATTTCCTTCTCCTTCGCCTTCTCTCTCCCTTCTCCATCCCTCCCTCCTCTCTCCTCTCTCCCTCCTCCTCCCTCCCCATCCTCCCTCCCCTCCTCTCATCCCTCCCCACTCGTCCCCTCCCTTACCTCCTCCTCCCTCCCCTCCCCCCTCTCCTTCGCCAACTCCCTCCCTCCTCCCTTCCTTCTCCTTCTCCCCTCCCTCCTCTTTTTCTTTCCGCCCCTGGCGACGCCCCGGACTTTGCACAGGCGCTCACCCCCAGCTCGGGCCGCGCGGACTCACGGGCCACGGCGCCCTCCTCGGGGGAGGGGCGCGGCTCGCCCTCCCGCGTGACGCGGTCGCGCGCGCGGGCTACCGCGCCGGAGGCGCGGCGGCGGGGTAGAGGACGAGCACCGTGTCCCCAGAATCCGCGAGGTGGGCCCTCAGTTCCTCGAAGGGGTGGAGAGGGGGTGGAGCTGGGGGGCATCAAAGGCCGAGGGTCGTGGGCAACGAGGGCCGAGGTTCCTCCTCCTCCTCCTCGTCCTTCACCTCCTTCTGATATATATATATATATATATATTTATGTATCGTCCTCCTCCTCCACCTGCTGGTCTTCTTCTTCTTCTTCTTATTATGTTTCTTCTTTTCCATCTTATCATTATCCGCCTCCTCCTTTCGACGGCGGAGGGGGAAGGACAGGGATGATGATGGGGAGGAGGACGAAGAACGGGGCCTTAAGGGAGGAAGAGGAGGCGCAGACCGACGACGAAGATCAGGATGATGATGCTGATGATGATGATGATGATGATGATGATGATGATGATGATGATGATGATGATGATGATGATGAATGATGATGAGGCTAATTATGATGATGAGTGGTGATGATGATGCTGCTGATGATGATGGGTGATGATGATGCTGCTTGTGATGATCATGGTGATGATGCTGAGGATGAGGATGAGGATGACGAGGATAACGACGACGATTATGATACTGGTGCTGATGCTGAAGCTGCTGATGATGTTATTGATTATGCTGCTGCTGATGATAATGATGATGACGACGATGATGATGATGATGACGATGATGGTGATGACGATGTCTATGCTGATGCTGATGCTGATGCTGATGATGTGGAGGATGAACACAAGGATTCTGCTGATGCTGATGAATATGTTGATGATTATAATGATGATGGTGAAGATGATGGTGATGGTGATGGCGATGGCGATGATGATGACGATGATGTTGATGATGATGCTGAGGATGATGACGATGATGATGATGATGATGCTGATGAGCATGATGATGATGATGATGATGGTGATGACGATGCTGATGATGATGGTGGTGGTGGTGATGATGATGATTACGATGACGATGATGATGCTGATGATAACGACGCTGACGATGATGATGATGATGATGATGATGATGATGATGATGATGATGATGATGATGATGATGATTATGATGACGATAACGATGATGATGCTGATGATAACGACGCTGACGATGATGATGATGCTGATGATGGTGATGATGATGATCATTATTATGACGATGGTGATGATGCTGGTGATGGTGATGGTGATGATGGTGATGGTGATGATGATGATGATGATATGATGATGATGATGATGATGATGATGATGATGATGATGCTGATGCTGATGCTGATGCTGATGCTGATGATGATGATGATGATGATGATGATGATGATGATGATGATGATGATGCGAATGGGGACGAGGAGGATGATAATCACGACGACGTCAACGATTACACAGAAAATGAAAGTGTAAAGGAGGAAAGAGGAGGAGGAGAAGGAGGAGGAGGAGAAGGATCACAAGCAACAGCAGGTAAGCCCCCCGGCTCCTCGTCCGTGCCCCATTTGCTGCTGGCGTCGTGCTCGAGGGAGTCCACCTCCTCCCACCTCACGAGAATGAGAGGCCCAAGCCAACGTCGGGCATGCGGCGATCGACCCCCCTCCTTCAGTGCTCGCCCTCCTCAGGGGGAGGAGGAGGGGGAGATCAGGGGGAAAGGCGAGGGCGAGGAGGATTACGATGGATACGATGAGAAAGACGAGGGGGAATGGGAGGAGGTATGATGATAATGAGGAGGAGGAGGAGGAGGGACCATCGGCATTTGTGGCTTTAGACGGCCAGTGCTGAACAGCCGCACCTGACTCTCCATACTATTTCGTCGCCTCAGGAATCTGCCAATGGATCGCCGTCTCTTCCTCGCAGATCTGTTTGGCAATCTGCTGCGCCTCGCGGCCGCGATGCTGGCCCACCAGCCTCCGGGACTGGCGCCGGCAGAACGCGTGTCCTGCTCGAGCGTGGCCCCGTGTCCCCGGCCCTCCACAGCAAACTCATCAACCTCGATGACCTCGAGGGCCGCGAGGTTTTGAACCAGGCCTAGAATCTTCGAGCGACTTTGTCCCGATGTTCTCTTGTGGCTATTTGTTCTTCCTCATCCTCTCCATGTTCACGTTCCTCCAGGTTCTAACTTCCGTTCAGTTGTTCCTGATGTACAACTCGTGGGGATGACATCCACAACACGACGGGCCACGTCTCTGCGGTCTCGGCCGGCCCGCTCTTGCGACTTAAGTTTCAGGCCGACGTCCGCACCAGCCGCACACGCGCGCCGGGCTCCGAGGACCACCGTCCTTCACGCCGGGAAGCCCGTGTTCAGACCATCGGTGACGTCGTGCCTGACTGCGCGGACCCTGCCCAAGGCCAGGCTTCGGTCGGGCCTGTCCCCTGCAGGCGGATTCCGGGCGAGACACGTAAGATTCCTGGACAAAAATGCTGCCAAATTGTCAACAATGGTCAAAAGCATCGTCCCCAGACAACTTTTTGGCCTACTTGTGAACCTTCCCCCTGCAGAGGGACAGTCGGCTACACGCAAGAGTGACCCTGGGTAAGAGCGACCTTCGGTGCGCGGCTTTTGGGCACCGCGGGTGGGTCAGAAGCGAGCGCGCCAGCCGCTGCGACGGCTTCTCTTTCGGCCCTCTGGGGGCCCACCTGCGCCCGCACCAGAGGTCACTCCGGCGAAAGGCCACTCCTGCGCCTATAGCCGAGACAGGCCCGACTTTTTTGAAGCGGCCCTGGGACACACAAATAAATACACACAAACAAAAGGATTCCCCATATTTTCTGGGTTTTCGTCTTCCCCCCCACTTCCCATATGGTCCCATATTTTCCTGGGAGTGGACGATTAATCGTGTCTGTGTGTTTTTTCCACTCCTGCGCCTATAGCCGAGCCAGGCCCGACTTTTCTGAGGCCCGGCGGAGGCCGCGCGGGAGGAGGAGGAGGAGGAGGAGGAGGAGGAGGAGGAGGAGGAGGAGGAGAGGCGCGGAGGCGGCGTGAGGAGGAGGAGGCGGAGGAAGAGGAGGAGGGGGAGGAGGAGGAAGAGGAGGAGGAAGAGAGGAGGAGGAGGCGGAGGAGGAGGGCGGAGGAGGAGGAGGAGGAGGAGGGGGGAGGAGGAGGGGAGGAGGAAGAGGAGGCGGAGGAGGAGGAGGGAGGAGGAGGAGGAGGAGAGGAGGAGGCGGAGGAAGAGGAGGAGGGGGAGGAGGAGAGGAGGAGGAGGAGGAGGAAGGAGGAGAGGAGAAGGAGGAGGCGCGCGGCGCGCGAGGCCCGTGCCGGTTGCGCGGAGGCCCGCCGCCGGGCCGGTGCGAGGCACCGGAGCAGAGGGGGCCTCGGGCTCTGCAGGCCCACGGCGGCCTCGGCCACGGGCCGGCTCTGCTCTGCAGGACTCCCCCCCCCCACCCTCTGATTGCCAAATAAAAAACCAGGGCCCACCTCAGACTCTCCTCCTCATCCTCCTCCGCCTCCCCTCCGCCTCCTCCTCCTCCTCGTCCTCCTCCTCGTCCTCTTCCTCCTCCTCCTCCTCCACCTCCTCCTCCGCCTCCGCCTCCGAGCCCTACCCCTGGGAAAAAAGAGAAAGAGAAACTCAGGACCAAGTGTATCTGCAGCGCTGGCAGAAGACGTTCTTATCGACTGCCCAGGCCGATACGCCTCGACATCGAGCGCCGAAAACTGCATTCAACTGGAGTCGGGCGTGTCCCCCTGCAGGGGGACTCTGGGCGAATAATAATAGAGAAGATTCAAAAGAAGACTCAAAAGATGCCCACAGAAACTCAAAGAATAGTCCCCATAGTATTTTGTGACTATTTTTGAGTCGGGCGTGTCCCCCTGCAGGGGGATTTTGGGCGCACCAAAATAAGAAAGATTCAAACCATGCTCAAAAGATGCCCACGGATATTTTTTCAAAAAAATGCCGAAAGATACTCAAAAAGATTCAAACACTACTCAAAAGATGCCGAAAGATACTCAAACAATACTCCAAAAATATTCAAAACATACTCAAAAGATAAGATGCTCAAGAAAGATACTCAAAGATACTCGAAAGTTAGTCCCCAGACTATTTTGTGACTATTTTTGAATATTCCCCCTGTAGAAGGGGCAGGCCCGACTGAAATCTAGGGAGCGGGCCAGAAGCCCGAGCCCCATCCCGAGCACAGAGCTGTCCCTGGTTGATTTCAGCGCGTCGAACGTCTTGTCGAAGGCCGCAGTGTCTTGTGGGAACCACGGACCCGCAGCTCGAAGCCCGAAGAGGAGGAGGAGGAGGAGGAGGAGGAGGAGGAGGAGGAGACGGATCTGGGAGACTTAACCCGCACCTCCCCTCTCTGAAAGCGGGCGAAGGTTGGGGGAAAGAGGTTTGAGGCACTTCATCCTCCTCCACTCTCCCTCGTCCCGCGTCCCTCCTCTAGGGAGCCCACAGAGGACGTACGCGCCCAGCTATGTACATGAACGCGGCCCCTTGACCCGCGAGACCGGCCGCGTGATACGAACATACGCGCAATGCGAACTCTCGAAACCAGCGTGGATTCATGTACGTGTACGTCCTTCTTTCGCTCCTGATCCTCCTCTCCCTTCTCTCTTCCCTTTCTCATCTCGGTTCCCCCTCCTCCCACCCCTATCGCCCTCCTATCCTCTCTCATTTCTCTTCTCTCTCTCCTTCCACTCCCCCCCTCATCTACCTCCTCCCTTTCCCGCTCCCCCTTCCCCGTCCATTCTCCCTCCTCCCTTCTCTCCAACCTCCCTCGCTGCACGGACTTCTCCCAACCTCCGCGCCTGGAACCCTTGCTGCACCGGCGCACGCACCACCAGTGCTTGCCGGAGCCCAAGATGAAGCCGAGCTCGCGGCCGTGGGAGTCCTGGCGTCTTTGTTTGTTCTTTGTTTACGTGTTTGTTGCGTTGTTTGTTTTTGTTGTGTGTGTGTGTGTTGCTTCTCTGTTTGTCAATGTCTGTCGTTTTGGTCATCGTGTGCCTGTTTTGCTGTTTCTGGTTGTCCGTGTTTTCCCATGCGATTCCCCGAATACGGCTTCCACTGAAAAGTTCTTACTTCGTCTGAGAAGAACTGGACCTGGGCGTCGATCTGGCCGGCTTGTTGTCGCCGTCGCCGCTCGTCACCACCGTCCGTCGCCGCTGCTTCCGGGCCTGGGTCTCGGCAGCTGCGCTTAGTGTCGTCGCCGCCCGTCGCCGCCGTCCGTCGCCGTTCCGTTGCGCCTGGGTGTCGGTCGCCGCGCTCGCCGTCGCCGCCAGTCGCCGTTTCGTCGCCGCCCGCCGCCAACGTCCCGTTGCACCCACGCCCCTTCGCATTGCAACCTAATCTTCCCCAGCAAGCAGAATCCGTCTGGGACACCGCAAATTTCCATCGCTAATTTTGCATATGAACTCACCAGGGTTCTCATTATCGTCCATCCCCCACCCGTGTCAAATAATTCAATGCGCGCGTGCCGGGATATGCTCAACACCTGTGTTTCGTTAAGAACGGAAGGACGATATTTTCAGACACATATCAAACCATGGTGTTCGACCATATGTATAGTCATGCTATACGTATAGGTGCACGTCTATGCATTTGTGTATGCCCATGTAGGCGTTGTATATATATATATATATATGTATACACGTATATTCATGTGCATATGCATTTGCAAATGTATACGTTCGCGTGTATATAGATGTACATATAAATATGTATATCTGTGTATGTACGTGTAGTTGTATGTGTATGTGGATGTGCCTGTGTACATGTATATGTAGATGTGAATACAACTGCTTACATTTGTGATTGTGCTTGCTTGTACACATAAATGTATATGTATAATCGTATGTATATGTTTATGTATAATTGTTATATATATGTGTGTATATAACTGTATGTGTTGTATATGATCATGGGTACGCTTCTGTGTCTGTGTATGTGCATGTGTACGTATATGACATGTAAAGGTGTATACCCATGTATATGTATACATATACATGCATCTGTTCATGCATATTCATAGTTACACAGATGTATGTGTATATACATGTATACATACACGCATGCGTATACATGTATGTATACGTGTACGTTTATATACATGCGATTGCATGTGTATGTGTGTATGTATGTGTGAACATGTAGATGCAACTGTTATGTTGATGGTTATGTGTGTACGAACATAACAATATGCGATTGCATATGTATATGCATGTGTAAATGTATATACACACGCGTATCTGAATTAGCATACGTGCATAATCGTATGTGTGTATATTTGTGTGTATATGTTTACCTGTCAATATGTATACATATACATATATATATAGTTATGCATGTGCATGTGAATGCTTATGTGAATGTATACGTGTCAGAACATACATATGTACGTATATGTGTATTTGCGTGTATGTATATGGATAGGAATATGTATATGTATATGGCCATGCATGTGTAGTGGTTTCCGTGATTAGATTCGTATGTATACGTATATGCACATGTCTTTGTGTGCGTATGTGAACATACGTACGTGTATGCAACACATTGTACAAACAACGTATGTGGTTTGGCACCTTTGCCTCAACCGCGCGGGCCTTTCGCACGCGCGTGCCAAAATCATTCGAACGCCCTTGCATGCTTGCGCGAGGAGAGGGGCGGGGGGGGGCACCACCCCTGTCAACTAATACCGTGGGGAGAACTCGCGCGCTTCGACCGCGCGCACACGTCGAAATCCTCTGCAACTCATCAACGACGCATGGACATCATCACTGCCGCCGGCGTGACCAAGATCGGCGCCTCCGATGGCCTTGCTATCGTCATCGTCAGCATCGCCACCACCACAGCACCTACCATCATCGTCGCCGCTGTTGTTGCGTCCTCGCGATAGCGCGCCCGCCCGAACCGCCGACCCGCGTCGAGGCGTCCGCGCGCCAGCGCGACCTTTGACGCGCGTTGGGGCGCGGCCGCGGGTAAACGCCGCCGCGGCCGCGTCGACGGCGCCGTGCGTGCGCGCGCGCGCCATCGCGCGCGCGCGCCGAAATCCTTCGCGCACCTGAGGTTTCGCAAGGGTGTCAACGTCGAGCGCCCCGCGCTACATTAAAACAACTATTATACGCGTAGATGAATATCGGAGGTTGGGGGTGAGTCCGACGTGAAACGGAGACCCCCCGTACCGGGCAATCGATTTCGGTTTCGGGTTCGTGTCGTGCGTGCCGTGCGCGCGTGCGGGCGAGGCGAAGCTGCGTGGGCTGGCGAGAGGACATCCTCCTGTGGCTGGGCCGCGGCCGGACAAAAAATGTTTCTCCTCCGGCGGCCGTCGGCCCGCGGTGTCCCGCTGGTGTCCCGCTGGTGTCTCGAAATCCTCATGTGGCTGGGCCGCGGCCGGACCAAATGTTTCTCCTCCGGCGGCCGGTGGCCCGCCGTGTTCCCGGCGCCCGGCCGCGGACCCGTTGGTGCGGCGCCGGCGCCCGCCGTCGGACGCCTCCCACATCGCGCGCACGGAGGCGAGGGGAGGGAGGACGGCCCGCGGCGAGGGGGGGAAGGCGCGGAAAGGCTCCCGCGGAGCGGGCTCGGAACATGTGCAAGCTCGACCCTTGCTGGCGCTGGAGGAGGAGGGGGAGGAGGAGGAGGAGGAGGAGGAGGAGGAGGAGGAGGAGGAGGAGGAGGAGGAAGAGGAGGAGGAGGAGGAGGAGGAGGAGGGGAGGGCGGGTGTGAGTGCGACGCGGGATGCGACGCGGCTGGGAAGAAAACCGGCCTCCCACGAAACGTGTGGGGAAAAACCTTGGGTGTTGCCCGTGTTTCATAATCGAGCGGCCCGAAAACACATAAATACAAACGGCTTTACAACATCAACTGTCGGAAAATTCTGCGCGCGCGAAAAAGTTTACAACATGTTCACCACATTCGACCAAACAGGCCTCTCGCGCGCACGTGTCGGAATCATTCGAGCGCTTTTGCGCGCGTGGGCCACTCGCGCGCGTCGTCTGCGCGCGCGTGTCGAAATCCTTCCAAAAACCTCGTCATCGACGCGAAGACACCATAAACATTATCGGCGTAATCAACACCAGCGCCGTCATTGGCATTGCCGTTGTTACCGTCGTCGTCGTCGTCAACATCACGGCTACTAGCATCATCGTGTCTACCGTTGTCGACGTCGCCATAATATCGCGCCCGCCCAAATCACCGACTCGCACTGAACTGCCCGCGCGTCAGCGCGGCCTGCGAGACGCGCTGGGAAGTGCCTAGCGGTCAGAGCCACCGCGGCTGCGTCGGTCACGCCAAACTAGCCGGCCGCTCTGCGGTCGAACGTGCGCGGGCTAGCGCGGCCGTAAGGAGGCACCAGCCAGGCCAGCACTAAGCACTCATCGAAATCGTTGCCGCATGGGTTTCGGGCGGATGGGACGAATGAGAGAGCAGTGGAGTTGACAACTCCAAATGTTTCAAAATTACTGGTACCTTAAATATTGCACCGCAAAATATGCTAATACATACTGTTTGGGATCCGCGCTGGCTAACATGTAGTTTCCGCTTGTGGTTCAAAGGGAGGACATCACGGCTTATCTTTGAATGAAGGACCCGGAAAACCGACAATGGGGAACGCGAGGGCTTCCCCCCGACTCCGACCCTAGCATCAGAAATGCCACAACAAACGGTCGACGTTTTCGCCAACGCCCGCGTGTCTTCCGATGGTCTTGCGCAGGCAACCGCGACTAGGTTGCAGCGCCGCTACCAGCGTGATTCCAGGGCCAGCGATTCGGCCACGAATGCTTCCCTGTCCCCTCCCCCATTCCAGCACCACCCGCCCCTTCAAGCCCCTTCTTAGTTCCCCGTCCTTTGCCGCCTTTCCCGCCCGGCACCGCTGGTACCTGTGCTGCCCACTGCTGGGGAGGAGGAAAAGGGGCGATGACCCTGAGATCCGACGTCGTGAGCAAAAACGGCATCATGAAAAGTCCTGAACGGAGCCCTATAGACCCCACCCCCAATTTCTGCGGCATTTCTTGCGCCAGGTTGAACGTTGACGGCCCCGGGGGCCCGAAGAACTGGGCGAGAACGCCCAGTCCGAGAATGCTGCGACGCCCGGATCTCGGGGGAGCGAGAGGGCGGAAGAGCCCAGGAGGAATCCTCGCGGTGGCGCCCACCCCAGTACTCCAGCAACAGAGAGTTCCCGTTCACCTGCCGCCGCGCCGCGGCTCGCATGAGCACCTCCACGCCGAAGTTCCCCCCGCTGTCGCAGCGCCTCCGCAGGTCAAGATGTGTATCCTCCTCGTCCTTCCCGTCGTCGTCATCCTCCTCGTCCTCCTCGTTCCTGCTACTTTTCCTCTCTTCCTCCTCTCTCCCACCCCTTACCCCCTGCCTCCTCATCCTCGTTGTCCTCCCTACTCCCTCAGGATGCGGGGGCATGAATGAGGAAGAATGGGGTGAGGGAGGACGAGGATGAGGATTCTTATCTCCATCCACCACCAGAGCGCACAGCCTCACGAGACAGTGCCACAGCGAAAAGATCGTGAAGGCGCTGCCCACGCATTCAGAGAACGACGATGAGGATGGATGCGGAGGATGGACGAGGAACAGGGAAGTGTAAAATGAGTCCTCCTGCTAGTGGTTTTCTCCCGAAGGCCTCCGAGAATCTGGCTCGGCGTCGAAGCAGCAGGCGTAGCTGGAGGAACCGAACAAGGCGCTGCCAAGAGGGGCGCACATGTCGTATATGCTCCTGACCAGCTCCTGTCTCCTCCTTCCTCGCTCTTCCTCCTTCCTCCTTCCCCTCCTCCTTCAACCCACTTCCGTACAAGTGATCCTACCTGTCGCACCACCAGACGTGTCCTTAGGGCGGGCTGCCTGAGATTTGCTCATCGCTTTAGTTCGTGAAGCTTGGCATCCCCTCAGCCCTCTGGGCGGAGGTGGTTTAGCGCGCTTCCTCTTCCAACCCTATACGCACCCCCTCCCCTACCCGACTGGAGACAAATCAGGAACCGTGCTGGCATCCCTCCCCCATCATAGCTGTCAAAAGCCAGTTGCGATACACTCTGCGGCAATATCTTGGACCATGCGCGGGCGCGCCGCCATCACCTCCAGTGGTTGTTTTGATACGGATGGTGAGATGCCCCCATATTCTGGTGCGTGCCGGCACACAATCCTTGCCAACCGCCAATTCAAAGTAATTACGGGCGCACACGACGCGTACACTGTGATGGCCAGCCGGCCACCATTGGGTAGTTTTTGCTGCTGTCAAGGATGTGGGGGGCCGAAGTGCTTCCCAATCCGTGCTGTCTGAATGTGCGCCCCGAGCGGCTACGGAGCATCCCGAGGATGTCTCCAAAAGGCCAGCAGACCGAGAAAAACCAACCGTGTTTTGCGATCTCCTCTTTTCACTTCGAGTGGGTGTCTGAAGTATCAGAGTGGCTCCAAGATGGCAGAGATGGGCTTATCAGGCCTCCAAGACGGCCGGCATAGGCGAGCCTCCGGCATGACTCCGTGCGCCGATGACCCTCGCTCCATTAAGGCCTAGGCCCAGCTTAGAAGACGAAACAACGGCGTACACATAAACTTTTGGCGCTCCGCGCGGAGTTCTTGGATCCGCGCCGGATCCCCCCTCCCTGGCGCGCGCAGCGCGCCAGGGGCGGCGCCGGAGGCGCCGCCGTTGGAGGCCCAGCGCGGATCCAAGAAACCCGCGCGGAGCGCCAAAAGTTTATGCTTATGCCGTTTCTTCTTCTTCTTCTTCTTCTTCGGCAGCCGGGCCCGCAGAGTGCTCGCAGCCGGTGTCGGCGCTGCCGCTGGCCTGGCTCTCAGTGTCGCGGGCCTCCGGGCGCTGCGCGTGCTTATGCCGTTTCTTCTCCTTCTTCTTCGGCAGCTGGGCCCGCAGAGTGCTCGCAGCCGGTGTCGGCGCTGCCGCAGGCCTGGCTCTCAGTGTCGCGGGCCTCGGGGCGCTGCGCGTGGCCGCCCCGCATCCGATGGGGCGCCGTGGCGCGAGCCCGGGCACCGCGCACGGTCGCGGCCGCAGGGCACCTCCCCACTTTGTGTCCCTGGCCTCTCTTCCGTTATATCTTGAGTTACAGTGGACTTAGCGAGACTTAGCGCAACTGTTTACAAGTTTCTTAGGACAACTTGCGTAGTAGTTGCTATCCAGAAGCAAGTTCACCGCATATTTTCATAAGGTAACATAAGTTAACATAAGTTAACATAAGATTACATAAGTTTCAGTAGCCATTTTGGCTCAAGTTTCAGTAGCCATTTTGGCTCAGATGCGCTATGACGGAGGCCCGTTCAGCCAGAATCGTCGCAGCATTGCAGGCAGGCGGCTTGCACGTTCCATGCCGCGCCCTCTGCCGCATGGTGAATGCCTTGCAAGAGGACGACGGCAGTGACCACGAAGGCAGTGCAATCCAGGGGCATCGGCAATTACAGGACCAGGTCAATGAGATCGGCAACCGCAGCACGGATTATGGCCGAATGATAACCAACATAGCGTTGCCCCGCGAAGACGGTGGCGAGATGTCGTGGGATATCATTAACCCGTTCGCAGTGTTGTCTGTAATGTGCGAGGAGTGTTCATGGTTTGCGAGGCTTCTCCACGACTCCGTCGGCAGTGGTAAAGCCAGCCTGGTGGTGTGGGGAGACGAGACATCGTCGGGGAACCAGCTGCGGCCTGACGCAGCAAACAAATGGCTATCCGTGTATTGGACGGTGGTAAACCTACCGTCATATTTCCGATCCTCGGACCCAGGGTGGATACCTCTCGGCGTTCTCAAGTATGACGATCTAAAAGCAGTTCGTTGCCAGTACAGCGGCGTCATCCGATCTGCACTGCACCATATGTTTACCCAGCACATGTTTTCGTTCAGCGTGGGCATCCGTTTGAGAGACGGACGCGGAGGCATGTTTTTATTTTCTGGAGAATTGTGTGCCGTGCTGCAAGATGAGAAAGCTCACAAAGAAATGAAATCCACCAAGGGGGCGAGCGGATCTGTGTGCTGTTCTTCTTGTAAGAATATATACAATGGTGACGCTTCAAAAGTGCAGGGACATACATATATACGGCACTACGCTGTCACGCCGCCTTGTGAGTTCGACCTCCACACAGATGAATCGTTCTGGGAGCTGTGCGATAAGCTTGAGGAGCAAAAGCCTTTGCTGAGCAAAAAAGATTTTAAGGTTTTAGAGCAGAAGGCTGGTCTGCGCTTGGAACCAGGGGCTTTGCTGTTCGACAAAGCATTGCGAGGCGTTTTCAAACCACAAAGCCACACATATTGGGATTGGATGCGCATCATATGTGCAAGCGGCGGTACTGCTCATATCAATTGCAATGAACTGTGTTTAACATTATTGCAAAAAGGCGTGACGCTGGAGGCGTTGGATGCGTTTCAGAGACAGCTTTTGGCCGATCAGAAAATCGTAAGAAAATTGCCGCTGCGGCTGTTCCAAGACCGCGTCGTGAACGCGCACGGTCACCACATGAAGTTATTCGCTGGGGAGTGCTTGACGGTGGTAACGGTCCTAGCTACGTTTGCCCGTGGCTCCCTGGACGTGGAGTGCCCGCATAGACGGTGCATACAAGTCCTGAGTGACCTCTGCGATCTTTCAACAGCTGGTTACGACGCGGTGCCGAAGACAACCCAGCTCGCGACCTTGCTCTGGCAGCACCACTCCCTCATGCTAAATACTTACGGGGAGGCGTCGTGCAAGATCAAGGCGCACTTGCAGCACCATGTGCCCAGGTGCATCGCCCGCACTAAAGCAAATCTAGATAATAGCCTTCCGCCCTCCCACCCACCCGCCCCCCCGCCCCCCGTCGGGTTCGCGCGGATAAGGTCGGGTCGACGGGTTCTAGAACTTGGGCCCCTCGCTCGGGAAGGGGCAGGCGGAAGTTGTTTCTCGAACGAGAGGCGCAATCGGAAGCTGAAAGCAGTTGCCAATCCGAATGTCCAGAACGCATCCCGCCAAGTTCTCGTTAGGCTTCTTCATGATTTTTAGACATGATGCGGTCTGGCGAGGGGGGGCATCCGTTTTGTTTGAAAGAGCCCGTCGTGGACGCGTCATGGATGGCAGTTCACTTTTCCCCGCTGGCGAGGCCATCCCGCGTGCATCTGTCTCGGAGCATGCGTTGGCCCCGTGGTAAGATTTCGGTGGGTGACGTGTTGTCTGTTCGCGTTGCCGACGGCATGGTCGGCGTGATCAGGGTCACGCGCTGTGCCGATGCGCGTTTCGATCGAGCCCCGACGATTCCACGCTGTTTCGTTATTGGCGTTGCGTGCGCCGAGGTGCACAATGGCGCGGCGCCCGCCGACGCGCACGCTGTCGAGTACTGTCCTACAGACAGCTTTGCCGTTGCGGAGATGGCTTGCGTTATTAACAACCATATACATTACAAAAGCAGGCGTGGATTTCGAGTACTGTTCAAATATTCTTGTTAAAGCGCTCCCGATAAAGAGCACCTTTGCCTTCGCCCTACCCCCGCTGCCCAGGGGGGGGGAGGGGGAGGGCGACGACGCCGAGGAGGGAGGGCAGAGAGGAGGAGCACGCGCACACGCACACGCGCACGCGCACGCGCACACCCGCACGCCCGCACACCCGCACACCCGCACACCCGCACGCCCGCAGACGCATGACTGATATTGCAATACACGTTCAAGTCCCATGCCCCTTCCTCATTTCCATCCTCTCCATCCCGTCTCCTCCCTCCTCCGCCGTCGGCCCTGCGCGGGGGTCGGCCGCCGCCCGCGCGAGCTCTCACCTGTCGGCGCGGGCGGGGTGGGGGGCGCGCATTGGATCAGGCAAGTCGAGGAGGAGCTGGGTTGCAGGAGTCGGGATCGAGAGAGCAGGGGGTCACAACGGGGGCAAAGGGCTCCGCGGCAGCTAGCGTTGGTTTCGAGGCAGGTCCAGCCGTGGTCGCGAGGGCCCATTGCACATTGGGGGGGAAAGCATACACATGCTCTGAAACGTCATGTTTTTATGCGTTGCGATCCTCGTTTCCCCCCTCTTCCTCCTCCTCTTGCTTCCCCGCCCCCATGCCCCCCCCTCTGCCCTCATTGACTGCCTGGCCGCCGCCGTATGGGATCGGATCAGCGTTCAGTAGTCTTCGGCATGACGAGCATGTATTTCGGTCCGACTTCAGATGGGCCAGTCGCAACGCTTCGGGAGAG